TATATATATATATATATATATATATATATATATATAACTATATTACTATAGTATGGAAAAATTATAAGGAATGACAAAAAAACATAAACATTATTTTTAAAAGCACCCCTGCTTTACAATGGGTGCCAAAAATCAGCTACAAACTGCTGTTTGTGCATGAAAGTTTTGAGTTGAAATCCTTTAAAGTGCTATAATTATCACACTAAAGCATTTTTATTGAATACATTTACAGAAATTAAAAAAATTAAATATATCTGTTTTAGTATACAATGGGATTTTTACGCATTAAATAAGTTTTGAGAACATTTTTCTTTTGAAATGAAACTGTTCGGCTCGTCCGTGCTGTGTAGCTCTGATTACTAAACAGCGTTGGTGTCATGGAAGCTGACAGCTTAATAAGACTGTTATAATATCCTGATGCATGCTCAATAATCCAGGTAGAAAAATCCAAAAAAGTTCAATCTGGTCCTCTGGACATTCAAAAAAACAAAACAAAGCAAAAAAAAAATAAAAATGTAGAAACGTTTCGTCTCTCATCCAAGAGACTTCCTCAGTCTGAGGTGCTGTTTTCAGCTCAGTCTCTTAAGTCTGTTATAACAACTTCCACTGAACAATGTTTTTGCATTGCTGCTTGTGATTGGAACTCAATGTGCAGCATAATGAGATGAAATTCATTGCAAACATTTTTTTCCCCAAAGCGTACCTTTGACTGTAATAACATTAAAGGTCCCACCATGACAGAACATGTAACAAGTAGAATTTATTCATAAATAATAAATCTGTACATTTCTTGTTAGGACATCAAAACGCCTGATGCGAAAAAAGAACCCTATGAAACACGGACGTAAATACACTAAAAAGAAGGAAATGTACGATTATTATAAGATGGTGAGCTGTACCTGCTAAGACAAAACCATCCCTATGAGTGGTGCTTTTTATCCCCTGATCTTCTCTCATCTGGCCGCCTGCTTTTTCTTGAAGCTTCTCCCTGCTACAAAACAGAAACAAAAAAATATATATATTTGAATAAATGCACTCTCGATATTTACACGAAAACAAGTTGGAACTGAAGGTAAATCTGAAACTGCAAACTGAAAAGCAAACGGAAGAATGAGCGCAACACACCACACTGTATAAGCCGCAATCACAAATTAAATGGTTGCGTTTCATAGTGTTTGACTCTTGCAAAGGTTAGTAATGGCTTTAATTTAAAGTAAAATTAGGGCCCACACCACACCAGTTATACCTAGAAGAAAACATTATGAGCAGAGTTAGAAACAACAGGTAGATGGTTTTTAACCACAAATTCACGACACTCATTGGTTGACAGACCAGTAAAACAGTCAAGACCAAAGGAGTCAGCATCTCCTTTTGTATTCAAACACAACTGATGCTGCACAAAAACACCATGCAAGGTTGCACCTGGTTGCACTTCTCCCTGAGTTAGTCAAACAAACGTTATCCCAACACAAAATTATCCTACAGGAAAAGACAATACAATTTAAACAATTATATGTTTTTTTTTTTTACTTAAAGTTGCACTCAAACATAAATGAGCATTATTTCTTGACCACTTTAAATCCAATTCTACTTTTCATACAACCTTGTAATGAATTTTAAAATTCAACGGTGATTTGCTATAGAAAGGGTTGCTTACAGTAACTTCTTAGTTGCATTAACATAAAATAGAATATATTTTCATGTCAGGTCTGCTGTGAGATAAACGCCTATGAATCTTCAGTGCAACTTTAAGCCAATGTTTTGGTTTTCCATTAACGTCCCAGTGATTACAGTCTAATGATGTCGTCTCAGAATAAAACTGCATCCCAATGTGGATTAAAGCTTGAAGAAACACAGTTAAAATGTGTCTTAATGCCAACCTCTGCCTCATAATCCTGCAGAGTGGGACAGAGTTGGAGGTCACTGTGCCACCTGCTACCTCCTTGGTTTTCTGGTGTAGGGGTTGACACCCGTCGAATAACCTTTCTGATCACCTGGTCAAAGTAGAAAAGCATTGACAAAAGGAGAAAAGATCTGAAGGTTGACCTGTTGTAAGTAAACCCTTTGTGCACTCTCTTGAATTTCAGAGCCGAATGAGACACAGGAAAGCATTTATACGTTACTTTTCTACTGATGAGGTTCCCATCGTGGTCCATATAGTGTTCCTCTGTCACAGACTCACCGGGGACGTTCTTTGCTTCTTCCCCCTGCAAGTGTTTGTGGTTAGCAAATGTGCTGATATGAAGATAAGTCAAGGTAATAGAAAAAAAAAATCCAGCCCCATCACCGCAACGCAAGGAAACCTCAAGGGAAAAGAAGAATGTTCATGTCAGACAGAGACCTGGTTAGTATTCAGTCAAAAACTGTGGCACGGTCAGTAGCAAACCTATCAGAACAAAAAGCAAAACTAACTAGACACACACCAGATGAAAGGTAAAAACTACACTAAATCAAACCAAAGACCCAGCGAGCCTCAGTTTCAGGCTTTCACCTTTAAAATGAGACGGCGTCTGAAGATTCTGGTTGTTACGGTCTGTTCTTCCTCTGAACCAGATTCTACACTAACTCGCTGTGGAGAGGATCACACAGGAAATTACACAACAGTGTTACACAGATTTGTTCACATTTCATTGTTCGAGCTGGAGCGCCGTGGTTGGCTTGGTCGAACTAAAGACACTTAGACTAACAGAACACCACAAGTTGGGAATTTCCCCTTCAGACACTGAACCACCATGCAGTACAAAGCTTTCAAACAGGAGATGAATAGACCTGCATTGTTTATTTTTGTAATAACCTTTCAAGATTCTTTTGTTGTTGTTGCCTGTGGCGATAACAAATTTTGCTGGGCAATTAATTGTCTCAGAAATTATTGTGATAAACGATAACATTGATTGAAATTTGACAATAATTAGTAATTATTGTCAAATTTAAGAAGAAATGTTGGTTGATTTTTTGAGTGTATTACCTTTTTTGACCACTGGATGGCAGTATAAGACAGTTTGAACCAAAGGATGGATAGTGAGGGAGCAAGAAGTGTGTCTCTTTAAGAAAAACGGGAGGGAGGCCCCTTGATGTGACATGGGCTGTCTCTCGTTCCTGTTTGTTCTCAAAATGGCGGACACTTGTTGTGGTTTGAGCTCTTTAGCATAGTATTTGTCACATATAGCTTTTAATAAAAAAATCAGTAAACAAGTTCTCAGCTTCTTTTTGCAAAGAAAAACAACATTTTAGACGAAGGCACGGGTTTCAACCATGAAAAGATGGGAGTTTTTTTTCCCGAGGTCAGCTTGTTAGCTTAGCTCGTAGCTTAGCTTCTCAACTTAGCTGCTTTTAACGATCCAAAAATGCAACTTTGGACGGTTAAAACAGATTTTAAAGCGAAAGGGAGGGGTCAGTGAAGAGCACCGGAATTGAGCCTTTTGTCATCCAATTCAGTAGAAAGAGAGAGGCATGAAGAAAGCCGATAAATGAAAATGAGGTCGATAATTTTCATTTATCATGCGATTAATTAATGTACTGTTTATCGCGACAGGCCTAGTTGTTGGATTCTAATGGACATCATTACCTGAACTTTTTTCTCTGACACCAACGTTCCACCTTTCCTGCCACTTGATGATTCTGATGAGCCGTCCTGAGGTGAATGCTTTGAATTATTGCCATTCTGCCGGGACCTCCCTGATTCTGCCCGAGATGAGGAAGTAATGGATTCACTTGAGTTTTCATGGCTGTTTGATAAAAACACAAAATGTCTAATTAGAAAATCATCTAAAAGGGGGAAAAATGGCTGATAAGGTTTATTAGATACTGGTAATAACATTTCTGGAATAGTTAATATTGTACAGAGGACTGCATTTGATCTGTATGGTTTTATTTATACCTTTCATGTTTGTCAAGCAGATCTGAGCTGACACTGCGGCCTGGTGTTGGCGGTTCAACATTGACACTGGATGAATCACTATGCCAACCTGAAAGTGAACACATGATTTTGTCTGCATGTTCAACCTCTTCAGTACCCTCTTGATCTTTGGAGTCCTTTATTTCTTTCTTGTCCTCCTCCTTCTCCTCTGAGCCTTCTTCTTTCTTCACCACTTCCAGTAAAGATGCTAATGTCTCATTGTGGACTTCTTTGCTTCTCTCCTCCTCTTCTTCCTCAGTGGATCCAGACTCACTGGGCTGGAGTTGCTTAAGTGCTTCAGCCCAGGCCTGAGGGGAGAGGTCAGCTAGAGTCTGATCTTTAGGTGCCAGATTTTCTTCTGATGTTGCAAAAATATATTTTGTGTCTTTAAACTGAAGTGCTTCATCAGTGTCATGTTTTGTCTTATCCTGTTGGTTGCTTTCCCCACAGCTCTCATGAACTTTTTGAACGCCAGATGTTTGATCAATATCCTTTTTGTCAGTTTCCGCTTCTGATGCATCTTTTTCCCCTTTATGCTCAGACTCTACCAAACTAAGAGTCTGATGATGAATGTTTTCAATTCTCTCAACATTGCATGCTTCCCCCTTACTTCCATCTTGAATAAGGTCAGGCTTCTCATTCATTTCATTTTTTTCCTGCTCAACAGACCACTTCTGTTCCACCAAAATGACATGTTCATCTGCTATCTTAGACCTGCCTTTCGTAACCATCTCACACTTTCTTTCCACGTTTTTGATCAAATCCTGCTCTACCCACTTTTCAACAAATTTGCTTTCCTCTGCTAACTGCACTGCAAACATCTCAACAACTTTCTCCATTTTTTCTGTCACCTCCACTTCACTTGCTTTCCAACCAGTGTCCTTTCCCCCCTCATTCAAGACACCCAGATGTTCTCCTCCATCACTCACTTGCGCTCTGTCAGGGGTTGATGGCGTTACTGTTGACGCAGATGACAGTGAAAGAGAGGATGTAGAGTATGCCATGTCAACGTCCAAGTCACACATTGTTGGGAAGGATGGTGATCTTGGCTTTTGGATAGGCTCTACCTCATGAACAGACTTGTCTTCCTCTTCACTCAAAAGCAGCTGATCGTTTAAAGCAATGTGGGGCTTTCTGACCTTAGAAGGATCAGGCTCAGGAAGTTCAAAGATAGGAATGCTCAGGGCAAGCTCGTTAGGTCTGGGGGGACTCTTAGGGGGGCTGTCTGGCTCTCTGCTACAAGGTTCCACCTCTGGACTCCAAGGTGGAGGGTGAAACTGGGTGTCGGTGTGTAAAGGGGCATTTGAATCTGGGTAATGGTACTGTTGATGGTGGGCAAGGGAAGGGTTGGGGGTGACTGGGAGCTCAGGTTCCAAAAAGTAGGGGTTGGACTGCAGAGCGGCAGGAGACTGCAACTCCGTGAGAATGCTCTGATAATCTGTAGATGACAGGGTGACAAATGTACAGACAAACACACATGGAAGCCACAAAAGCATACAACACACACAAACCCCCCACAGAAATCTTAGCACAAACACCATATGACATCATGACATGGACACAGACACTGAAGTGCAACGCATGTATCCAGGCAACCTCTAAAATGCGCTCCAGTAATATGACAAAAAGAAACTTGAAAATTATCTAGCAAGTTGCAATTAATTCATATATTTTATAACATATTTTAGGAAATGTGATCTTTGATAATTGATAAATAATAATAAATAAAGTATTTAACATTATACTTTGTAAAACTATATCAAATTACATTTGTTATAAACAGTACTTTAGATTTAATCATTCTGATTTTCAGAAAGTGTTAATGCTACAGTCTTGGAAAGGTAAATTGCTAAAAATGGAACGCATTAGTGGCACAATAAAACTACTTCAATAATAGCATGAAATATGACAAGATTACATTTTTGCCAGGGTGTTCTGTTACATGCTCACATGATAGAAATGACAGATAAGAGATGTGAAGAAGGAAGAGTAAAAAACAATGTTACAAGACAAAAGCGAGAGCATTCTAAATGAATATTTCCATGTTAGACACATCACTGCGAGTTCGAGCGGGAGGTGGGGTGACCGAGGGCGCACACTTGCACTGGCAAACAGGACAGGGAGACAGGGAGCGGAGAGGAGGAGAGGGAGGACTGGGGCTAGAACAATGAGAACCTGAAGGGGAGATGGGAGGAAGAGTACAAACGGAGAGAGGGGAAACAGGGCGGGATGAGGAGAAGGCTAGCTGAGCCACTAAAGAGTCGTTGCTTGGAGAGGTGCTGATAGAAGGAGAGGTTGATGCTGGGGTTGATGACAAGATGGGTGTAACAGGTGTGGCAATAAGCTGAGATAAGTTGGGATCACCAGAGGAATGAATAGTGGTAAAGATGGTTGACGTGGAGGTGGTTTTGATGGTGGGTGTAGTTTGACAAGTCTGATCATAAGACATGCCAGATAAAGTGAGCGAAAGGGTGAAAGTTTCTGCTGGCGAAAGGATGGAAGTGGGTGTGGCTGGGATAGATAAAGGAGAACATGAGACAGATGTGTTTGAAAAGGGTGATGGGGAGTTGGGAGCAGAATAGGGTAAGGGTGAGGTGATCAGTGGGATTGGGGAAGACATGCCGGGCAAGAAAGAAAAAGCAGGGGATTGACAAGACTCTGCAGAGGAGCTCTGAGGAGCAAGACGAGAGGAATGAGAGGGGAAGAAGTCGGATCGAAAAAGCTCAAGAGGTGCTAGAGGCGCCAAGTCTTTCAGAGAAATTGAAGACTCATAACTTGGAGAATGGCGTAAAGAAAAGGGACCGTGGTTAGCTGCTGCAACCGGTGTGAAGGGAGTGGGTGGAGGAGTTTGTGTAGGAGTCGGAAAAATGGGACTTTGCGCCTTCAGGATAAAGGCTGTTTCAGTGCTTCCGGGAGTTAAGGGGATAATCACACACACTGCATGAGAAGGAAAAAGAAAGAACATGCAAAAAAAGTGGGGATTGGAGAAAAAGAAAGAAAAATACATTAAACGCTGAAAAACATGAAACATGCTTGTGAAATGAGACAAAGAAAGAATAATGCAGATCATTTGGGAGAAGGCACGTGGGGTGGCTCTTAATTTGGTTACGAGCTTTTATATGCTGTTATCAGTAGCCAATAGTACTAAGTGGGGTAAAGGGATGCAGAAGGAGGAGGAGAGGAGAAGGAGAGGCAGTTAGGTTTCTCTCATCTATCCAAGGAAGGCTCAGAGGAACTGGAGGAGAACTAGAAGAGCTCAGCTAAATAAATGGAGAAAAGCAGACTCTACATAGTTTAAAAAAATCTAAACAAGTCAGACATATTCAAGAAATATTTACAGCAGTTATTAGGATGCAACATGCATTTAGAATTGCACTAGAATTAGCATAATAACAAAAAGGGTTGCAGGGAGAGGTAAGAAATTGGCTAAGCAGAGCTAAACTTTACCATCAGCGTGATCCCGGAAAACAGCGTTATCATCGGCAAAACATCTCGTGCCTGAAACGTTACCATAGTCAAATATTGGACCCTCCAGTAAAGTCACAATATCCATCCGATTGACTTTGGTCAGCACTGATGATAAGGCATCCGCTGTAAGAAAAGGCAAGAAAAGTTTGCCTGAGTCAAAACAAACAGACCATCAAAAAAGAAAAATACACACAAAAAAAATCTGGGCAAAACTACTCAAATTCTTTGCTAATTTTAGAAGCTTAATCTAAAAACCTTTAAGAGCAAATAAGAAAAGGAAGTCATGGAAAGACAAACATAAAAGGAGAGAGGAAGTTAGAAAAGAGGACAGTGAGGAAACGTCTTAAATGGCTAAAGCAAAGGAAACAACTTTTTTACAATATTGATTTTAAATAATACTAAATAGACAACCTTTTTACATTTAATAAAAGCAGGACTTTAACACAACAGAAAAAAAATTGTAATATCTCCAGATGTAAAAATAGACTTACTTGTGGCATTTTTTCCTTCTCGACTGACCCATTTTTTCAAAAGCATGAAGCTTTGTGCTGTCAGAGAGTTGGGGTTCTCAAGCCTGATGTGGTTGATCTCATCCACTGTGAAGTTCATCTCCCGAGCCAGCTCTGTAAAGTGACACAAATTGCAACTTTGACTTTAAAACACAAAATATAATGTAGCCCAAAAAACAGAAATCAAAAGTGCAATCACATATTTTTTCACAAGGGTAATTTTTCTAATTTTTTATGTTGTTTGTATGAAAGCACAATTTCAATCCCTATCTAAGCCCTGCAGATGACTTTGAAAATGTGCTTATAAATAAATGTATTATAATGTTTGCGTCAGAGGCCTTATGTGATAAATTGAGCTCTGAGACCCTACTATTTCACTGCATTGCTGACTTTGTGTTGATTTGCATATGACAAATCAAACCTGAAACCTACTAACATAGCATGAATGCACTTAAACTTCTTTAAGGCCATCAGCAAAATGTACTACAGTATTTTCATTATTTGCTGTTCATCTAAACTGAAGATGGCAATAAAGAACACAACTTGAAAATACATTTACAAAAATTATTTTTTTAGGAAAAGGAGCAATGCTTTTTGATTGTCACCTGTCCAACTGAGTCCTAAATGATCTGCAACAATAGCCATGCGCAAGTCTGTTCGTTCACAAGGACTTTGTGGACCTGATGATAATAGAGGACAGTGAAATATTAACAAAATGAACATACGTCATCCTCTTTATGTGAATGTGAGAGAAAATTAAATGATCTATTTTCATTTTCTGGCCACTTGTTCATCTCCAAATATTTATAGCCACTGGTTCAAAACAGATTAAATCAATTTAATCAGTTTAGCGACATCTTATCTTATCATTTATGTTATGTAATGGATTATCCAGTAGTGAACTATGAAAATTAAAACAATTTTGTCAGAATTATCAGCAAAATGTAAAATTATAAGTAATTTAGTACATTTGTATATTGGATTACTCCAAGTTGGCAAGAAAATGATATTTCATACTACAGACATAATGGTCAACTTAAATGTGTCTAAAAGTAAGTGGTGCTCTGTGACCATTTGTGGTATGTATATTTTAAGCAGGCAGTAACTGTCATGACAAATACACAAAACCAAGCAGTGTGATCCTCAATGACAGACTTACAGTTCTGCAAATCTACAATCTAAAATGTGACCATGCAAACACGCTACTTTGTGTTTTTTGTAAACACTAATTAATGTTCAAGACAATTACGTGAAAAACTCTATGACAACAAACTATTACATTAGGTCAGTAACCATCCTGCACAAACAAATAGACAAATAGACCAGGAAATTGTCAAACAGGACTGGTTGTGCGAGTGTCCAGTCATCTCTACTGACATGCTTGCTTTCTTATGCTTAACAGGGTTGAAAGAAGGAAAGGGAGGAAAAACAATCTTGCAACACTGACAGCATGGTACACAGTACATCAATGACAAAAAACAAATAAATAAATTTAAATGACAACTACAGTTTTGAGGAGAGTATGTAAACACACCACAGACATTCCATCAATCCATTAAATGATCACCACAATGTCATGCAACTAAAAGTGAAATATTCAAATATATAGATGTATTTTAAACATAGTGTGAAAGTTTTACAAACTAGGCTTGATCTCCGCGATGGGAGGCGTTCGAGACCCTGTGAGTCCCTGACTGCCCTCCTTCCCACCAGTCCGCCTACTCCTCCTGCTCCTCTCACTGCCGGAAGACCTGTCCGTCGTCGCCACCTTTGCCCTTACGGATGCGGCCCCGGCCTCAGCCCTCGAACCTCTACCAGACCTGGATGAGCGGGAGGGCTGGGAGGGCTGGGAAGGCTGGGAGGCGTCCGACAGAGAGGTGCTTCGGGAGGTGCTGTCTTCCTCCGACTGCTCTGTATGCGTCTTTTTGTCCTCGTCTGAAAGGCGGTCCACCAACTTTATCGTCTCCCCGCTAATGTCCTTAAAGTATTCGATGGTGCGCTTACAAAGCTCACTAGGGTTTTCCTGTCTGCTCTGTCTAGATGCTCCCTCACTTGTGACACTGCTTAACTGATGTCTGTCTTTAAGTGGTAATCTAGTGGGCAGCTTTATGGCTGTTCTTTCTGTGTTCATTGTTTTCATAGGTTGTGAGGTAATCCGAACTGAAACAGGTAAGCTAGCTGTTGCAGCAGGACTACTCTTTTTGACATCTTTGATGGGTATCCTTGATCTAGGCTCTACTTTGGCTATGACTGGCACTCCTTTTTTCCTAACCTCAACTGTGACTGCTTGTTTAGGCTTCTGCTTACCAATGGCTGTTCCCTGTGTATGAAATGACCACCCTGATGCTTTAACTGGAAGCCTTGACTTGGGCTGTTTCACCTCATTTTCTTTAATGGTTTCATTTTTCTGCTCCTGTGCCTGATTGCTGTTGGTCACTTTCACTCTCTCATCCTTATCCCTAGAGCACAATGTTTCTATTCTGCTAGCTTTTTGAAGGGTAGGCTCAGAGGAGGACTGCAAATTAAATACCACACTACCACACTGAATATAGTTGGCCTGAACACTGGAGGACTCAAGGTTATTGTTGTTGTTGGAATTTTCAGAAGGGTAGTCTTTCTTCTCTTGCCTGGACTCAGTATGGCTGCTACACTGTTTCTCTGTACACTGACTCTCTATACTAATGTACTCTGGCACCATCTGACCATCTGATATTTCAGCTTTACAATCGGTGACATCCCCTGAGTCTTTTTTCACAGTAATAGAGGCAGCTATGCCCATCTTAATAGGAGTTCGTAATTTGGAATCAACCTTAGAGGCTGTGATTGTGCAGGATGAGGCAGTCTCAGCTATGGCTTCACAGGCAGGGATATCAGTACCAGCATAGCCTATGTCACTGCCAGGCTGTGCAGGGCTGCATTTTGCTGTAGTTGATGCTGGTGTTGTTGATGTAGTGTTGTAGTCTAAGGTAGTATCGCTAGTAGCTAGAACCTTCACTTTATCATCTACTGAGGACCTCTCTCCTGTTTTTGACTGAGAGGAAAGTACCCCCAGGATCTTGCCCCCTCTCCCCTTTTCCCCTGTTTTAGGGTCAGAGGAATGCTCACCAATCTGGAAAAACTGAAGTCTCTCTTCAACAAAGTCCCGCTTGCTCATGTCAATAGCACCACTGCGGGTCATCTCAAACATCTTCCCTTCGTGGAAAGGGAAGGGGTTAGGTTCACTAGTTGGTGTGCTCTCATCAGTTGGTGTTCGGGCAGGGGTTGTGTCTGGTGTTGTAGCCTGTGATTTGTCCTCCACTGATAAACTGAAGGGCTTGGGGTCCTCTTCTTTTGTTTTAGACTCGAAAACCCCTTCATTATCAACACCTTTTGTGGACCAAGGGTCAAAGTCCAGACCTTTGGTGGCAACAGTTTTAAAAGTTGAATTTAGCTCCTCCTGAAGTTGGTACCCAAAATAATTTTCTGCAAAACTCTGCCTATCAGGGTGTCTTCCTTCAAGGGTATAGTCTTTTTCATCCCCACTATCTTTTGCTTCAGTTGTGCTGCTTTCAGTCTTTCCATTATCTCCTCCTTCCTCATATTTCTCTTCTTCAATCACTTCAAGTTTAGATTGACCAAATGAGCGGTCAGCCGTTTTCCCATCAGCAGATAAACTTGATGTTTTAGGGTCCTCACTCAGCCCATCATCTTCATCCTGAAGGTCATATCCATCTAAAGAGTCAATTTCAGTTGCATCTGTGTCATGAGAGAACTCAGCTGTGGTTGCTATGGAGCAGTCAGTAACTGACTGGTCATTGCCATTTTGTTCAAAATCAGCATCCTCCCCCTTTACTATGCCATTAACTCCAGATTCCTTATTATTTCCATTTTTCTCTGTCCGTTTGTGTTTCTGATGTTTCTCTCCGTCTTCTTTCATTTTGAAGGTATACTTTTTGACAGGGATGGGATGGAAGACAGACTCATCATCACTAGAGTCACTATTATCTGCTCCAGGGGGTATAGGGGATGGAGGCTGAACTCTAATTATTGGCTCAGCTAAAAGGTGCTTGTCATGCTCTTCTTGCAGGTTTACCTCCATCATTTCAGTTTCTGTATGAGAAGAAGCACGTGATTTAATTTTCTCAGCATTGGACTGCTCTGCTTCTAAGGGAGGAGGGGGTGGAAACTCTATATAGGCAACTCTTTTGTCCTTTGACTTCCCTCTTTCTTCATCCTGCTTTGTACTGTTGTTCTCTGAAGATATTGGCTTGGACTTTTCCTTTAAGGGTTCTTTATAGATAAAAGTCTTCCCATCTTCCTCCTCAGATTCTTCTGGGATAGTGCTTGGCATGCCTGCTATAAACCCTATCACAGAGTCTGGTGTTCTGGATGCAAGGCTTACTTCCTCTGAGCTGGGGGTCTCAGGTGTGACAGGGCTTTTTCCAGAACTATCCATAAAAGTAACTTGCTCTAGAGTGTCATCTTCTGGACTTCCTTGAGGAGATGAAGTCTGCTTTTGTTTGACAGTGTAAAATGTACCTCTAGTTTCATGCATTGTTTTACTTTCATGACTCACTATCTTTTTGTATGTTCCCAGCTGCCCTGAGGTTGTTTCTTTCTCATACTGCTTTCCTACTTGGATACTGACATACACAGGTAAGGGTTTAATATCTTTGAAGCCCTCAGTGACAACTACAGGAGTTACTTGGTCCAAATACTCTACTTGGTCACTATCAACACCATTACACATTACATTTGACTGGTTACTCTCTGATAATATTGTGGATTTTTCTACTGATGATCCATGAGTAGACTTATTGGATTCAGAGCTACTGTGTAACCAATTTTTAACTAAAGTAGGTGTATGAGACCTTGAATTTTCATGTGGTCCATCTAATTTTAAAGAGGCAGTTTTGTGATTTTCAGAAAAATTAGATGATTTTCTTACAGGAATTTGCGATTCCGAGTTTTTTTTTAGAACATTGTTGCTATTTGGACTTTCTCTAACAACAAATTCTGAATATATTATTTTCTTTGTAGTTTCTTGTCTTTGCTCACTGCTACTGCAGTCTTTTGTAGCATCATGGATTGACATTTTAGACAGTTTAGGAGATTGGGAATTAGAAGGTCTAAACCCTTGGCTCTCCCAAGTTCTGAGCATTTTGTTGTCTTCCTGATCTTTTTCACTGATCTCATGCTTTGGTGAGAACTTATTTGGTTCTGTCTCCAGACATTTCCTTTGGTATCCTGGACTATTTGGTGTTTTTGGAATACTAGAACCTGCAAACACCTGATACACAGGCAGCTTAGTTTCCTGAAGTTTCCTGATTGGAGGGTTTGAATTTTGGCCAACTTGAGAATTCTTATCTTGCTTTTGAGCCTCTTGCTCAAACTTTAGCCTCACTGCACTAACTTTTGAGGAAGACATTTGAAAAGATTTAGGATTATCACCTCCACTTCCATGTGTTTTACTATCTCCTTGCTTTCTAGAATCTGCATCACTGAACTGCAGCAACACTCGTCTTTCTGGACTGCTGGGTAAACTTGCACATTTTCTGTCACTTGAGCCAAACTTGTCTCTTAGCCGCTCTCTGCTCCAGTCTTCTCCACTACTACCACTTCTATAAGGTGACCTCTCTGGGCTACTCTGGGTTGAACTTGGCCCTGATCGTGATTCTCTGAAATCTGTTCTGCGAGATTTCTTCTCTGGAGACGAGAGCTCATCATTGAGCTGTTCTGTTCTATCTCGAAAAAATTGAGATACCTCACAAAGTTTTTCTTCTGCCTCTTTAACAGTCCTATCTACTCTGTCCTCATACATAATTTCTTCTTTATCCTTTACTTGTGTATCATCTGACACACGCATCCAAACAGATTGCTTTGGGCTGCCAGGCTCAGAAGAATACTGCAAAAGTGTCAGTTTGTCGAAGTTGTCATCAACATTGGCCATTCGCCCAGATTTGTCAAAAACATTCCTTGAAGACCTAAATACATACTCTGTTCTTGGGCCAAGTGACCTCTCCCTACTGTGACTGCCTCTGTCTGGTGAATGAACTCGAGACCTATCTTTCAAATATTCCTCTGTGTCTGAATGAGACTGGTCAAGTTTTTCAGAAAGTAACATTTTTTCAGCAAAATTGTATGATTCTCCCCTAAGCTCAGATGATTCATCTTCATGGTACTCTACAGATTGCTGGCTAAGTAGCTTTAATGTTTTGTATGAGTCATCTGTCACAAGCTGAGCTGAACTAGGGTGACTGTCTTCTTCCTGTGACATTGGTGTGTTCATTCTGGGAGAGTCTAGATACACAGGCAGTAACTGTTCAGGCTCCTGATCTTCTTGTCTACTCCCTGGACAGTAATACATTTCCTTCTCTGTATGGTTTTTTGTCTCTCTGATAATTACTTCTGTTGGTTCTGTTTTATTGCCTTTTTCGATGTGAACCTCAATTATTCTTTCAACTTTAGGTTTAGAGTTGATATCCTCAAGGACTCTTAGTGATGCATCTTCAGTGGTAGACTTGTGTTCAAACAGTCCAGCCAGCTCTCTAGATGGGTCCTTCCCAGACTGAAAAGCTTTCATTATGTCACGTACAGACATTGTTTCCTCACATCTCTCTGATGTTGCCTCTTTGCCTGGTGGTTTGTGGTACACCATCCTGGTGGTGGTAGTTATGTGAGTTTCTTCCTTTACTCTCATCCCTTTACCCATTGGATCTTCATCAGGGCTAGCTTTCACTGAATAGCACTTATGTTGGTCTGGAGTTGATGGAGATGGACTCTGATGCCCTTTGAAATCTGAATCCATTATTCTGGCAGGATTTGCATCCTCCATTGAAGGCTGATTGTCGTCCTCTGGCTCATAGCTCCTGATGACATGCACTACTTCAGTCCTAGTCTCAGTGATTACTGGTGGAACTGGAATATCCTGAAAAAGGGCCTTGGGACCCATGCCTTCAGCACTTTGAGGGGCAGAAGGTGTCCTCTCACTTCTGGTTTCGAACCCACTGTCTGAGAGAGGACTTTTATCTTGTTCATGTGAGATATCATCTGGGTATTCTAGCACAGTGTCTCCTCCAAAAAGTGCATCTGCTACTTTACTGATTTCTTTATCTGTAGGTGAAGACCGGATGTTTGTTGGAGGCATTTTGAGCTTATGCTCCTGAACCGCTATGGTTGGTTTTAGAACTCGTTTCTGCTTCTCCTTGACCTCTAGTTCTTTTTTGCCATCATCTATTTTATTTCTTGTATCAAGTATTTTGGAAAAAGAACTACTCCCCACATCACTGGATAAGTAGTCGACCACCTTAGAAAGATTAAAATCTCTGTCAGGTATTGCTTTTGATCTGGCTTCAGAAACCACAGTTTCATATCTTGGTGGATAGCTCCAGTTGCTTGGTGGTTGCTCAACTGGTACTTTTGAAAAGTGTATGTCATCTAATGAACCTCTTGCTAGAGAAGTCCTACCATCCTTCCCAGGATCTTTAGTGAGAATTTCGCTTACTTTTACTAGGTCTTGTTTTACTTTCTCCACAATCCGAAATGGCTCTTCATCTTCTATCTTAGCCTCCTTGGGAGAATCTGACAGAAATCCCCTGCTGGCTGTAGAATTTGGGTCAGTCTGTAAAATAGCAGACATTCGTATCAAATCTTCTTTCATTTCAGCTACATCCTTCAAAATCTCTTGGCTGGATGAGAGTGGTGATGTAGTGATCATTTTAATGTTAGCAGGAAAAGGGGGGGCTTTGATAGGAGACAGAGTTCTTGCAAAGGAAGACTGAGCATTAACATCAGAGGGAATAGTTTTTCTTGGTGACAGAAGAGCAGCAGCAGATTTGGACACTTCAGGTAACTTTTTAAACTGGGGCTCTGGCAACACATTGATAACAGAGTAAACTGGAACGGTCATTGTACTTGAGGTTACAGCAGTGGTGACATTAGGAGAGGTTCTCAGGGAGGTGTAAAGAGAACCAGAAGCTGATGACCTAATAGACTGATAGGAGGAGGATGCAGAAGATGATAAGGACTTAAGGGTACCATATCCAGCAGAGCAAGAATTGAATGTTTTTTCAACCTCATCAAAGGCTGCATTGACACTTGTAGTAGCGGCATTGGTGGTTGCTTGTATTCGCTCTTGCAGACTGCTGGTGAGAGGAGATGTTGGGGAAGAAGAACAGTACTGTGAGGGTGACACAGATCCATTAATTAGAGCTGCAGCACTTGGAGTATTGTTGGATTTTAGTGTGGATGAAAAAGAAGAAAACAAGTTTCTTGCAGGACTAGTAGCGTTTGAGGCAAAAGAACGCACAGAGGAAAGACCAGGGACTGTTTTTATGGGTGAGGAGGAAGATGATGTGCCGGAAGAACTTCCCAATATAGCTTTATATGGGAGGGGAGAGCTGAACATAGTTAGGGAAGATTTGGGAGATGTTGGTGGGGTCAAGCCCATTGATGTTCTTTCAAGATGAGTGCTTCCTCCTCCAGATGCAGTAATAGAGGAAGTTCTGGCAGACAATGCCCCCAATCCTTTCATAGACAAAGGATCTGAGACATTTTTACCTGGTGAGGCCAGGGGACTGTGGGTAACTTGGATAGGGTACTGGGGTTGACTGATTACACTTTTTATGGGAGAGGAAATGGTTCTGTAAGATCGGATTGGAGAGGCCGTGTCACTGGCTGACTTTACAGAGGAAACAGGTGATCCAGGAATGTTGGTCTTAATAGGCGAGGCAGAGTTGATGGACCAGACGGATTTTAATGGAGAGGCAGAAGGTGTGTTGGATGACGAACTGGAGAGGGAGCCAAACCCAGATTTGGTTTGGCCAGTGAGGGCGACAGGAACAGGTGACCACGCCTGATAAGATCTTGTTGAAAAGACAGGTTTGTGAGGGTAGCTAGAAGGCTGCGTTCTCGGCGGGCTTCGATCAGTTGTTTCTTCAATAATGATTAAAATAAAAATAATAAGTAAACATAAATTAACATAAAATAATTGGAAATAAAACATAAAAACCAGAAAGAGAAATTTGAGTCAGTAAAAAAGGGCATAATGCACAATAGAAAAGTTAAAATGTAACACAAAAAAGTGTAAGAAAGGTTCTCTATGCCAAGTAATGTGGACTCAAAGACAAAACAAAGTTGGTTCATAATGGGGCGTGGATAACAACAGAAATGACACATGGTAATTGACACATGGTACAGTTGACAATAATGAAATGACAAAAAATAAAATAAAAATACAATCCCATTGACTTTGCTGTGCTCAATTTGTCTTGCTCATGGCCACAGTGCCTTTTACAATGAATGTCTGAATATAGTGTCATTTCATTTAGTGCACTTTTAATGCCAAAGGACCCCACAAGTGTATATTAGTCATTAAATGATTATCAACTTAATCAATTGGTTGTTATTAATTATGTAGTTGCACTTTACAAAGATGTAACAGGAATTCTGACACTCATGCCTATTTAGAATGTCCTAAAAAACATAATCTGAAGTCAGAATTAAAAAAATGCATTTTAAATTATTAAAAGCATATTCTTGTTTTAAAATAGAATCATGGTATGTAAAAATCCCTATAAAGTAAAGTGCAACTTGTTCTGTACAAATATACACAGCCGCATACAATCATAAAGCCAATAAAAAAGTGAAGTTATGACTAAAAATGTGAACAAGTAAAGAGTATTTTTATTCCACATAAATGAAAACACTTTCAAGTAATAAATGAACAGACATAATTTCCAAAGATTTCCACAAATGTAAAATTAACAGTTGAAACGGAGACATATTTTCAAAATGGGGTAGGTAAGCAAAGCATTATACACACAAACCATGCAAATGACTGAGGTATGGTGGATGACATATGACCATGAGTCTGAGTGGTGAATATGTTTCAATGTCTTTTTGCACTCATGTGTATGTAACAAAAAAATTAACACTACTTTAAATAATAATAAAGTTTCTAAAACTAGCTGAAGTTGCAGCAAAATCTACAACTCATTAAAAACGTATTGAAAGTAAAAATGGGAAACTCACTCGCTGCTGGATCAGTCAAATAGCTGTAGCGCTTACGCAAAGCTAAAGAGGCAAAGGTATGACGTCGTTCTGGCTTTTCATTCTGGAACAAATAAAAACAGAAAAAAAACCTTCAACATAAAAAAAAAAATACGAGAAACCTATCAAATTTAGCTCCAAAACGCAATCTTTTTAGTAATTTGTTTAGATTCAATGCAGACCATTCTTGATTTTAGTGACACTGAACATGCTGTTAGTATTAGCAGAAGGAGGTGCTGCAGATTTATGTTAGTGTGTCCTATAATCTCTTTGCTTGCACAGTTTCATTATCGGATTGTGTTTTAATTACCGTAGTTCACTGACAAAAGTAATATCAGGGTTACCTTATTAAATCAAAGCAAAGAGTGAAAAGTGTGCCAAATTTACAATTTTTTTGTTTTAAAACAACGAATGTTACCCATTTATACAGTAGGTCTGGGTGCTGAACTGTTTCATTGAAATTATCATTATGGAAAACATGGCCACTATCTATGTTATGAATGCTGTAACAGAAGTCAGTCCCATTTACTCAACTCTCACAGCATGCGGTTGAGTATCAGTATTTTCGTCACACACAAGTCCAGAACACGGGAGAAGGGGAGGGGGGATAAACAAAACACTGTGAACAAATAAAGACTATAGGTTCATCTTTACTTGAATGAAAACCCAGTAATCGCTAGGACTTGGTAATTATGAGGTCCACTTCTAAATGTATGGATAAAAGATGAAAAATAAGAGATGTGGCACAGAAACTGAATCCTCTGAACTTGGGACAGGGACAACAATAAATAAAGCTTTGCTAACTAAATCATTTACCATTATCTTCATGCACTACACAGTGTCATTGTATTAAAATCAAAGCTAGGTCAAGAAAAGGAAGCAGTCAGCAGCATTTCTCAAACTCGGGCACTGCGCAGAGACAAAATCTTTGCAACACATATATTCAATAAAGCAACTGCGATAAAGGCAACAAAAAGAATGACTGATAAGAAGCAGTTCCTTGTGATGATGAAGAATCTTTTTACCTCATCATCAGGATCAGACTCCATATCCTGTGGTATTCCAAGATGCAGTTCAGGAGAGGAGAGGAAAAATGATACAATGGACAGCAGGGGAGTTATAGTGAGCGGGGGGGGGGGGGGGGGGGGAGAAAACAAAACTCAGGGGACAAAAATGGAGCAGCAAAAACAACAAAGTGCTTCAGAAAAAGTCTATGGGATTAATACATAAAACAAATAGCAAAATAACAAAAGCAAAAGCAAAACAGTTGCAGTTTTATGTAATCAATCAGTGCCACAACAAACAGAATTTATACGTTTTTGCATTATTCTTGTGTGCCCACAATGAGCCAAGCAACAAATCAAAGCATGATGTGCACCTATGGCTCCATGTGTACATTGTGGGGTCTTATGACTGGCACAGGCTTTACTATTATTAAAAGACACAAGCAACAGGCATTCGTCTCTGGACCAAATGTGCTTCAATGACTTCTCTTTTTGTCACCACTACATCGCTTTCTGTTTTGCAACTATATTTCCATGTGGATGACATGACATGGCCTAACAGGATGAGAAGTTTACAGCGAACCTACCTTCTTGTGGGTTGGCAGTGTGATATTTAAATTGCATATGGCAGTCTGTGGAAGGCCTTTTGTGGTTTTGGGCTCTCTCAGAAAGGAGAGACGACCACATGGCTCCTGGCCCATGTCTCTGATCTGTAGAGGATAGAAAAATAAAAGCTGCATGAGCAGCTGAACAACACCTTAAAAACTCTTCCGAGTAGTTTTTAAACTTTTTGCTCCATTCTTAAAAATCATAGTTGTCATATTGCATGTATTGGAAATAAATCAGTGGGCAAAAATACAACTTGGTTTAAACATTCATCATTTTTACGACTTGCAAAGCATTTCCTGCTAAACGGACTGCAAAAGAGCATTTCTTTTGTTATGAGTGTCAGCTGACACACTAAATACATGCTAGTAGACATGTGTGGTGACAGGAGGTACACATGTTATACCTTCACATTGAAAGGAAGCCTGTTTTCCTTGAAAGAGTAGAAGTTAAAAACCAACTGCTGCCCACTTTTGATGAGAGGTGAAAGATTGCCATAGCAGTCTACATAGATAGGCTTGCCCTCCAGAACCTGAGGGAGATCATTGTAAATATAAATATTGTCAAAGCATGAACATATTGTATGCATGAGATTGGAAAAAAACAACATTGCATTGCATTGCATGCAGTTGTATTGTGCAAAATAATGTTTGTATGCCTAAAGGTAAACAGCTTCACCTCAATATCTTTGCTCCGGGCCACTTCTTCAAAGTTCTCCTGCTGCTCCAGAGTCTTGTCCACCTTGTCGTCTGTCATGCAGAAGCAGCGCAGCCGAGCCTCGACGGGGTCATTCATCTTGGCGAACACCACAAACTTGGCCAGGTATGGCACGCAGATCAGCTCCCGGTATAACTGAGACGCTAGACTCACCGTCTCAGGAATCTGGTGACAGTCTGCGAGCCAGAACCTGAGGGGGAATGATCCAAGGTGAGAGGAAAAAGGAATAACAGCACAGATGTAAGGCTGTGAATTACATCAAACACTTCATGGGGATGCAGCGCCATAGTGCACGAAACATTTAAAAATGATAAATTAAGCACGTTTGGTTAGTTATCCAAATGAGGCCCACAGACACATGACAGCCGTGTAGCAATCTAATTGCACAGAACCAAGTTGAGCTTTGTTAATACCAGCCTGCACACTTCCCACATGATTCAAATTTAGCCAGGATGAGAGGTCATGACTTTGCATGTCGTAACCAGAAGGCTGCAACACTGATATCAGAACAGCAGAAAACAGTTTATGACACTTAAAAAAAAAAAGCTATGATACATAAAGTGAAATGGTAATTAGGCATTCACACTACTGAGATCCACTTTTTCTTCCATACGTTTTTCGGCATCTAACTAAAAGCTTCTTTCTGTTTGTTTTAGCTACTATTCAGCTGTTTTTGGCCAATTTCAGCTTTTTTCACATAATTTAAACTTTATTGTGCTAATTTCTGCCTCTTTCAAACTTAATGGGCACAATTCATCTCAGTTCACTTCTTTTTTAAAAATTTAAGCTTCTTTCTACATTTCTTTAGCTACTATTCAGCCATTTTTGTGAAATTTCAGCTTCTTTAAGATAATTTCCACTTCTGCTTTCTTCTGCTAACTTAGGCTTGTTCTTCCTTTTAAGCTAAATTTCTGCATGTTTTTAGCTAATTTCAGCTGTTTTTCAGCAAGACCTTCAGCAATAAGCGTTCCCACTTGCATTTTCACAGGAAATGCAAATTCTCTAGTTTAACAAGTTTTGAGTCCTTCATTTAGCAAAAGATTCATGCAAGAGAAAGATGTTGCTTTTGTAACAGTTAAAAAATATCAAAAAAGCATCTAAATGATACCTATCAATAGTTTCATCCATTAAATGTGTGAGAAAAAAAAATTAGGATTTATTATGAAAAAGTGTTGGATATTTTAGTTGTAAAAATATTTTCATGTAGATTTTTTCTGATAGTTAAAATAAAAAAGTGATCCAATTTACTATACTAAACGACGTTATGAACAAATCTACATGGACAATTCAATGAGAGAAATGTATTAGACCCATTTCAAGTGACATTTTAAAATTCCTACTTAATTACTAAAACTCGAAAAAAAGAAAACAGAAAATATTGTAAAAACCGGAATGATAAAATATGTTAAATATTTATAAAGAAATGTTGACAGTTGCTCATGTCTTACTTTGCAGCAGCAGTCAAACAAAGATACAAAGATCTATAAAACATTACACAATCACTTTTACATATTCATTAGCTAAATATGCGAAGTGTTGTTATTCCTACAACATTCAAAATATCCTGGTCTTTTTTTGGATGTGTTCGGCACTGTCTCAGTGAGTGCACCATGTGTCTGTGGGTGTGTGTCTCTCACCTGGCCGACACGTTTGTGGTGAAGGAGACGCAGTCAGTTACAAAGGACAGCGGTGTGGTTCCTGTGATGTCCTCCCACTGTGCAGGAGACGTCCCTCCTGTGTGAAACCAGGTCAAAAGATGAGCTCACGGTCTTTCTAAAGCCCCCAGTATACTACTGCGTACATCCGTACGCGGAGGTACGAGCGTACACCCGCAGGGCATATCCGCGCAAAGCTCAATTTTTAAGACACGGTGTCGCACAACAACTTGCCTGGCGACGGACTGTTTTGTATGCGACACCAATGTATTAAATTCCCCTTCTTCATCTCTGATCTGGCCTTTTCTTTTGTTTTTTTTGCCAAAAGGCAAGCGATCTCTTCCTCCTCTGTTGATGTTGTGACTGAAATGGTGAGAAATTAAGGAATTTGCCAAGAGCAAATTAAACTCAGGTCCAGCGTGGCTGCGGAGGGGTCTGTACATTTCCTGGTGGGCTGGTCTGATGCATGGGCTGCAGGACCAGCGCTCCCTGTTTTTTTATTTTTATTTTTATATCTTTATTAACAACATATAAACAAAGAACACCGCTGCAGCTGAGGCTGCCAGCGCTTTTTTTTTTGACCTGTCAATCAATCCAGTAGGCGTGTCAGCAAATGACCAATCGGTGACATCAATTTGTCCCGAAGGTAAACACCCCTTGTCTGTGGAGCTGCTCTGCAGCCGCTCAGGATGGACGCTCAAGTATGAAGTCTGAACCCTCTGCGTACAGTACGCGCGTACGTACGCGTGGACGGACAGACGCGGGAGTATACTGGGGGCTTAACACTGCATGTTGTTCAGTTCTCACACTTTGTCTTCCTCGTTTTACTACTCAATTCAGAGTTCTCATGTCTAACCTCACTATTCCAAGGATGCTGCTGGGATACTTTTAACTCAGAGTTTGATGATTATTAGTCCCAGCCGACAGAATTTGGACGGATTATAGAGGTGCTGCAGTAGTGTTGTCTAATTATCTGCAGCTCAACTTGCCGGTGATGCTGCAGAGCAGACGCAAGCAGGGCGCGGCGTCGCCTCGCTTGCCGCTGGGGTGACCCTCTGCTGATCTGGGCGGGACGGGGATTGTCATGGTGATCGGCTTGTGGAACTTTCTCCTTCTGGGCTCTACGGTGACGATGGGGCTGAAGGTGGCTCTGTTTCCGAGGACTGCCCTCACCATGTCATCTGGGACAGGCTGTGCCTGAATAAAAACACAAATAAGCCATAGAGTGGAAAAAGATTAAGGCCCAATATTTAGTGTGCAGAAGAAACAAGAAATGCACAGCTACACTTTCCCAAACCAGGTCTTTAGTATAATGATATTCAACAGATATAGGTTAAGTTTAAATAATTAGGAAGTCAATAGACAGTATCTGCAAAGAAAAGTCTAGAAACAGATTCTGTTTGAGCTAATCAAAGGAGGACTTTTGTACCTGCAGGCCAACACGGATCCTCTTAGTGAGCGCCCCCTGTGGAAATGAGGCCTGGACCATGGGTACGTTGTTGCAAGACAGCATGCCTCCATCAGGACCCATGTGGTTAGACTCCTGTTTGATCCTGGACACCACAGCAAAATACTGCGGAAAATCTCTGGTGACGATGCGGCAAATGCGCTTCTTCTCCAGCTCCTCAGGACTGTCCATTTCTGTTTCAAAAAATGTCTTCATGTAAATATTACATGTAGCAGAGGAAGGGTGGACATACAGTAAATACATTTTATTTTTTACAGATGTAGATCTTTAGTTGTTAAACTGGTGTAAAACTTTTTCTGCTTTTACCAAAGTAAATTTATTTTTTAGGCCTTTTGCTATATTGCAATTCAAACTCTTGCATTTATATTATGAAGTGAAAATTTAAAAAGAAAAGAGAGTCACAAAATAAAAAGAAGTCTACAGACATCTAAATAGATATAATAGTAAGTCAAAATATAATAAAACAATATGCACAATGAAGCAATAGAGAATAGAGATGGAAAAAAATCTTTAGACATATTTAAGGAATTGTTTTAGCCTTGAAAATGGCAACTGCTGTCTAAGGTAATATTTGTTTAATGAGTCAAAAAAGTGTAATTTTATATTTAAAACCCAAACATTAATTTTGTAAAAAAAAAAAAAAAAAAGGAAGGGTTTTGTTTTAAACAAATACTTTAAACAATATTTTACAGAGGTGACTGACAATCAGCAATAAAAAAAAGAAACAATTTGAAAAATAACATGAATAATGGTGGAAAAAAAAAAAAACAATTTTTAGCCCAAAGAACTTTTAAATAAACTTGAGCAGATTGTTATTTTTGCAGGTAAATTTCACATTACTTGAGTGCAGTTTCAGCTTTCTTACAATTAAACAATCACTGACAACTTTGAGGATTGTAAAGCTTTTCTGAACTCATCAGCAGCATTTGCATTTGTAGTGTAAAAATATGTTTAAAAGTGCAATGTCAAAAAAAAAAAAATATATATATATATATATATATGTGTGTTGGACTTTCTTAGAAACTATACAATATTTTTTCTCTTTGCAGAGAGTGGTGAAGGCTGCACAGAAGTCTGTTGGAGTCAGCCTCCCCACCATCACATACATCTACACCTCCAGATGCAGGAAGAGGGCCACCTGCATCATGAAGGACCCCACTCACCCAGCACACACACATTTTGCCCCGCTCCCCTCAGGCAGGAGACTGAGGAGCATTAAGTGTGGAACCACTAGACTGAGGAACAGCTTCTACCCTGAGGCTGTTAGACTCATGAATCTCTAACCAGGATAATCACTGAAAAAAAAAATCACATCATGTTGCTGTGTTCATTCGTACTCATCTTCTCACACAGACTCATGTTGGTGCTGCTGTTCGGCGTATTGTTTTTGTACTACTAATGTTTGGCGCATTTCTAGTTGACATTTTTTTGGTTTGTATCTTAGACCTTATTACTGTTTTTCTTTTACATTTTATACTTTTGTTGGATGTAACTGGGACCCTGTGTACATAATTTCTTTCCACCACATGTACCACATGTGGTGTGTATGACAAATAAAGAACCTTGAATCCTTGAATATTCCTACAATTGTGAGTCTGCCTTTTGTAGACAATGAAATGTGTGAAAATTTCACACATTTTGGTAAAAACAAAAACTACAATGCTGTTTGTAAAATTAGATTGATTTCTTTTTTTCTGTTTTTTTCATTTGTGTTAGAAAACAGAATATTCAGTCAGTTCATTTCGATTGAATATTTTTACAGCAAATCAGATAAAACCCTGCTTCTGCAGTGAACTTTATAAAATTATCAAGATCTCAAACTGACCCAAACCTCTGAGATACAAATTAAAATTCTTCAAAGATTCAGTTCACTTTCATCGACTGACTTTTTGTTGGTAAAAGATCACTTTACCTTCATCCATCCCAGTGAGCAGCTCAGGGAGGTCTTCTGGTCTGCTGTCAGACTGGTGCTCCTTCCAAGTGTCACCATTGTCACTCCTCAACACAATCAGCTCCCTCTCTTTCCCTCGCATCGAACCAAAATGAGGAATCTCCACAATCACAGGACTGAGAGGGAAAACACATTACTGGTAAGCCTACACCACGGTTCCATCAATCCTACTTCAGTTGTTCAGCCACAAATGTTTGAGCAGACATTTAAAAGCCTACCCAAGGAACTGAGCGCCAGCAGGTCCGACCTCCACCAGTCGGCTGACGAGTCCCTCTCCCTCCACCATTGGCGGCGGGTAGGCCAGTTTGTGCCTCTTAGCCAAGCGACAGGTGATGCGAGTAGGCGCCGTGCACTTCCTGGGAGGGATGATGATGCGCATGCCATTGTGACGGCTGCCTCTCATAGACCCACCACGGGCATCCACCATGAAGCTGACTAAGAACCTGCAAGAAGCAAAAAGAACAGTTTCAAGAGAAGTAAATTACAAGAAAAGCAAGAAAGACAGAAGTCATGGAGACATGAGGAAGACGATTCCCATGCTGTGATCACTGGACACCCAAATTAGATAGAAGACAGAAATTAAACAAAAATACAGAAAGAGAGCAGGAGAGGATAGAAAGACCAAAAAAAAGGTGCTTTGAATTCTGAAACTTGGCACTTCTTAACTTCAGCTGCCTCAATTTTTAGAACAGCATACATGGTCTGAAACTAAACAGGATGGTAATAAAGAGGCAGTTTAGTTTCCAGTTCTGAGGCTAAAGGTGACGTTAAATGTCAAAGGTTCAGTTCTTCAAAAGCAGCGTTCAGTGATCAAATATTAAATATATAATATATTTTACAAATGTTACAAATGTTTCACCAAGAGTGATTTAATATGATTGCAATTTTATATGTCCTATTAAAGAAAAGAGAAAAAAAACCTGACATCCTAGTTATGCAGTCAAAAATAGCACAGTATGAGGAAGGATGAAGATGTGTTTAAGCTCAGAAAATTCACCACAAATGTTGCTAAAAGATACTTTTCCTACACCGTATACTGCAGATGGCAAATTCTCTGAAAGGATTTCTGGAAAATGTAATTCTAACATGCACAGTGAGAAAAGGAGATGAAAAAAAGACTCCCTACACACACAAAAATATATAAATAAGTAGCACAACACGCAGATGAAATGGGCACAAACTGGAGAGAAAACAGACAGTGATGAGATGCAAAATAAGGGGAGACGGAGGTGGAGGAGGGAGTGACATCACTGCGGCATCATGGGTGTGAGCAGCAAACTCAGTCATCACCTGGAGTCATACTGAGGGAGCGGGGAGGAGAAGCTGCAAAATAAACACATGGAGACAACGCAGGAGGCGACCCCCCAGAACCTAGTTTTAGTATCAGTTTCACAAGCACAGTAGGGATCTGTAAGGACTACTAAAGATGGAAGAGGACTAAAAAATATGGGTGGCAAAATTAAGGGAGGCGAAGAAGACAAAATGATAGTCATATCTACACATGAAGGTAACTTTAAAAGAGATAACCAGTCAAAAATAGAAACACACAACCACAAATAGATTAGACAGATCCCAGCATTTTCTTTCTGAATAACACAAAAGAAACTCTCAGCTCGTTTATGTGCAAACACAGCACAGTTTATTTAAAGTAAACCATAGCATTTTATGATGTCACATATTCAAAGTGTGTGCATGACATTTTATCTGTTTATCCAAATGAGCTCACACAGCGCCTGCAGTTTGTTTGAGTAATGATTAAAATAGCTAAATGTCTGCGAACATGGAGGGAGCCTGGACCGTGTCTCCTGACTTGTGGTATAACTGGAGAGCTTTAGCGGAAAAGAGTTGGTGCTGTAATTAGGAATGCACGATATTATCCGCATGGTATCAGTATCGGCTGATATTAGTAATAAAGTTAATTATCAGACATCGGCCATTCCATCAAAATAACTCACCGATATAAAAAACGCTGTTTAATATACATATACGCTGTTTTTGTATGACAAGCCAGTGACAAGGATGTCTGCAGTGCCAGCACAACTTTATGACATCACGCACGCCGTTGAGTTTAGATTTGTGAAAATTTACAAATTTGCACTGTTCGAGTGTTGTCATTGTGTTAAGAGTACATGTCATGAATAAATTTGACATTAAACATAATCCAAACTGAAGTGTTACATCATTTTCAGCTCCCTTTTTGGCATCTGCATTTGGTAGCAGGCCAAATTATTGACAAAGACCATGCAGAATAATTTAGTATTTTAATTTCACAGCAGAGAAAGCTATATAGTCTCTGTAAGTAGGTCTAGGGAAAAAAATATTGGTATTGGTATCGGTTATCGGTCAAATAAGTTTTAACATATCGGTATATCAGATATCAGCCAAAAATCCAATATCGTGCATCACTATATGTAATGCAACATCTGCAGCAGGAGCCCTGCACCTTATCTGCATCAGTGCAGTAGGTGATGTTGATTATTGACTTTTTAAGGGTGAAAAAAAACCACAATAGCTTTATGCAGTAGTTTTACAGATGTGCATATGTCTTTCTGTATGTGCATGCTGGTAAACACATCCTGGCAGGTCGAATGAGGTGTTCTTACCCAGAGTGAATGGGGCTTGACACTGTGTTGTGGCTGTGGTCCATCATATCCGGAGTCCAGCTGTAGCGCCGCATACACTCTGAGCTGTAGTCTTTGGTCGCAGCAAGGTGCTGAGTGAAAAATACAAGTGAAAAGAAATGGATTGAAAGATAAAAAGGAGGGCAAAGGTGAAGGACAACAAAGACAAAATGTAACCAAATGAAGTACAATAAAAGACAAAAACAAAACTAAAGGATGACCATCATAGCACAGACTTACAGTAAATGACCCTACCCTGTTGTCATGCATTGTATGGAATATTTTAAACTTTTGTTTCATTTGTCAACACTGTTAAAAGTCACAATCATCTTCACAAGTTGCCAAGTGACTAACAAAATACAGTGGAATGCAGTAAATACAGACAAAAAATACAACAAACATAGCAAATAAAACCAAAAGTACCACATATGCCTGTCGACAAAAACTATACAGCAATCTATAGCAATGGCCTGGACAAGCAAAGACCTTGTATAATCATTGACCTTTATTTTTGACTTAGAGCTAGGGTGATGCAAAATATTACACAAAATGCTGTCTAGCATGGTGCAAATGTGTATCAAGCTGCATTAAATTATCTTTAGCCGATCAGAAGTTATGGCCCAAAAAACAAAACCTTGTATAATATTTGACCTTCAATTGTAACCTTGACCTTGATGCTGGGGTGATGAAAAGTATATGTGACCCTCCGTCTAGTGATAGTGCACGTGTATATGAAATTTCATTAAATAATATCAGGTGGATCAGAAGTTATGGCATGGACAAGAGAAAATTTACATATGTACATATAAACGGATGGACTGAGACTATGTCATAATACATGTCTGTCTTTAGACAGGTGTACAAGAACAACAATAGCAATAATAATAATAATAATAATAATAATTAAAACTCTGAGACAGTGAGTGGGCTTTTATAAAAGATTATGATTGTGAGCAATGGATCACGTGCACTGACGGAAAAAAATATTGGACATCACCAGCCAATACAGATAGAAGTAGAAGGTGGCAGGTATGAGATTAATATGAATTCAAAACTAACAAAAGATAATGTAACTCAGTAAAAGTAAAAACGGAGCCACGCTGACACTGATTTAAATGAAACAGACCAACAAATAAATCAACCATCTCAACATCAGTACCTTACTGAGCGGGTCGACCAAGTAGGAAATGTCTTTACAGACACTCTGAAGCTTAGTAGAGATGAAAAGAAGGTTTTAAAGTCACATTCTGGACAATGTGCGCTCCAGGAAATTAATTTACAACAGTTTGTTTCAAAGAAGAATTTCCACCAATTAGCATACAAGTTTATCTCCTGGAAAATATGAGTACAGTCCATGTTTGGTGTACTGTATGTGGTACATGTAAAAGAATGAGATGTTCTTGTGCATTAAAAATACTTACTGGTAGGTGGCATAAATATTTCTGCCTAGATGTACAAAACTTTACATTTGATTTACTAACTATGCATATTGTGGTTATCTTTAATTTTATTACTTAGCAGGCAGGACAAGTTTTACAGAGGACTTAATTTTTCCAGGAGACAGCAGCAACGGGCCCCTAAAGTTGTTAGGTTTGAATAAACTTTTTGTCAAAGCGCTATGTGCTCCCTCTTAATATTTTGACAAAAGCTTGTGTTTCTGTTTGTGCAAGCACAGCTATCCTGCTCTCAGTTTTTACCTAGCCAGCGGGAGTTGGGATTATTCCAGTGGAGAAAAAAACACAACACGAAAACATCAAAGTTCATGCTCAATAATCCAGGTAGAAAATCTAACAAAGTTCAGTCAGGTCTTCTGGACGGTTTCTTTTTTGTTGAGACATTTCGTCCTTCATCCAACTTAATCAACCCGAGGAGCCACAAGCCAGCTCAGTCCCACAAACAGCACACTCCCATAGTGGACCAACCAGTTTGCTGGTCTGGGGCCCGTCGTCTCTCCCTAACCAAAGTGGTTCAAAACATCAAAGTTCATGCTCAATAATCCATGTAAAAATAAAAAAAAAGTTCAGTCAGGTCATCTGGACAGTTTCTTTTGTTGTTGATACATTTTGTCCTTCATCAAAAGGACTTAATGTTATTTGACGTTTTGAACCACTTTGGCTATGGCTGCCTCAAAGGAGTTGACAGGGGAGAGGGTGGACCCCAGAAACCATCTTATCACCAGCAAACTGGTTGGTCCACTATGGGAGTGTGCTGCTTGTGGGACTGAGACTTTTGTGGTTCCACAGATTGATGAAGTCCTTTGGATAAAGGACGAAATGTCTCAACAAAAAAAGAAACCGTCCAGATGACCTGACTGAACACTCGCATAACACTAAAAGTTATAAAGAAAATCAGATAATCTCCAGGGATTCTTAAACAAAATACATGTAGGTTCACAAACCAGTGAGACAAAGATACGAAAGAAGGAATTAGTTGAACATGAGCTCACAGAAAGATCAAACATTGAGTGTAGGGAGTGACAAGAAGACAAAAAGAATGAAAAGTTGAAGAGTATCTTACCGTGTCTTTCGTGGGGGCCAGAATTTCCTCAATCATCATACTGTCTCGGGCAAAGGAGCTCCGGTTGAGCGTGTTGGACCTATCCGAACTGAATGAGCGGAGGCTACATGTTACCATGCAACCCAGCGCCACGGGGAACAAGAAGTGATGGGTGGGGGCACGTGGCATAAAACAAAAAGCAAAAGACTCATTACTACATGCAACCTCCAGGGAACCAGGATTTACTTACTGGACAGACGGTCTAAAAGTCAGAGGGAAAACTGAGAGAGGCGGCAGAGCTCGCAGGTAAATAAGGAGAAGATACGGCAGCAGTTTTATCAGAGATGGAAATGAGAGTGAGATCAGTTGCCTTTAGAGATAAAGCGGAAAAGGGAGAAGAGTTGACAGACGAAAGAAAACTTGGAAATGTTTCTCTAAGGTGTGGTGGGCGTGCGCCATAAACGCGAACGTAACCAAACTAACCACGCCAAAAACGATGAAACATGAGAGATCAGTGGACCAAACTTATATGCACTTGACTGACAGGTGGGAGTAACAAGTTTATAAGTTGGTGCAAACAGAAAAGGCAACAAGATTAACACAACTCAACAGTTAAATCTGGTTTAAGCTCAAAGATTAGCTGACCTGTTTCATATAGTGAAAAGGAAAGCTCGTGTTTTCTATCTGCCTTGCTGCAGTCTTGTTTAATTGCTGTGTGCAGCGATGCGTGTCTGTTTTTGCAGCATCAGTGCGGTGCTTTAGATCCCTTTGAGCTTGCTTTAAAAAAAAAAGAAAAAGTTTTTCTTTTTGCTGCACGAATGTGACGAGTTCCGAAGACACAAAACGTTTGTGACTTCACGGTTTAAAATGCATTTTCTTTATTATCATACAATTAAAACAAGCTATTTTGTTGTATGTTAACGCATGACGAGCAACTTAGAAAACAGTTGAATATCCAGAGACGAGGCAAAATTCTCTGTGTCACATGTTTTTTTTCTAAGCGTGTGCTGTATGCGTGCACTGATGTGCCATGTACGTAAAGTGGGGGCTGAGAGAGAGTGGAGGGAGGGGGGGAGAAATTGCAGAGCTCAGCGAGTTTGAGTGGGGACACTATTCAGCACAGAGAGAAGCCCTTTATTCAGCAGAGCCTGCCTACACCATCGAAGTAACCAAGCAACTCTGTACAGACTGAATGGACCCGCTGGCAGGGCAACACTACCCCCACCCCACCCCCTCCATTCTCACCCTGTTTGTTCTTCACAGCTTCTTTCTCTTTCTCATTCTGTACATCCTCGTCTCCCTCCGTGTTCCCATCCTATATTCTCATTTTTGGCAAAGATCCATTTTCCACATGATTTGATTTTTTTCTTTTCTACATCAAATAATTTCAATAGCAATCATTACATTTGCCCCACTCCCCTCAGGCAGGAGGTCGTAGAGCATTAGAACCACTAGACTGAGGAACAGCTTCTACCCTGAAGCCGTTAGACTCCTAAATCCATAACCAGGATAATCAGTGTAAGAAAAAAAAAAAGAAAAATCACTGTAATGCCATTTTAATTGGTGATATGTGACTTATCTGTTCTGCTGATTATCTGTGCTGCTGATCTCATGCTGCTGCTGATCTCATGCTGCTGTATTCGTTCATACCAATCTGCTCACCACAGACTCATGTTCGGGCTACTGTTGCTACACTGTATTTTTTTACATTATTTAGAGTATATTTGAGATCTTTTAGCGTACTGTTTGTCAGTCAACCTTTATTTAGACAGGTAAATCCCATTGAGCCTCGAGGACTCATTTACAAGACAGACCTGATTTCCTGATTTTGGCATTTGTTTAGTGTGTATCTTAGAACAGGGGTCTGCAACCTGCGGCTCTGGAGCCATATGTGGCTCTTTGGTCCCTCTGCAGCAGCTCTTTCAAGCTTTGACCAAAACTGACATAAAACTGAATTTTATTGGTTGTTATAACAACTAAAAGGGCTAGTTTTAGAAGTTTTCCTGTAATTTATTTGGCAAATATGTGAATACTAGAAACATTACAAGGAGTAGAGCATACCGATACTCACTCTCATTTTACGCTTTATTTGTTCAAAGTAGGATACTTATTTTTTCTACAAAAAATAAATAAATAAATAAATCACATAGACCTGCATAGTTTGTTTTAGTTTTTAGAAATTGGGCAAAAACGATATTATTTTTTCCTTCTTTACAAGAATCTTGTCTTTTATTCTGTCTTAAAATGTAATAATATCAAAAAACGTAAAAAAAAAAAAATTGATAGTTTTAGTTTTATAAAATCATCCCGACTGGCCAGAAAAGCACACTCCAACAAACTTAAAGTGGTCCGCGGGCCACCAGTTGACAATCAGTTGTAGCAGGTATTGCGGCTCCGAACACGTTTAATTTAGTGAACAAAGGGGCAGAAATGTCTTTTGATCATAAAGGTTGCAGACCCCTGTCTTAGATCCTTAGTAACGGTTTCCTTAGTACTTGATATTTTGCTATTTTGGGTGTAACTGGGACCACGTGTACATACTTTTGTTCCACCTCATGTACCACATGTGATGTAAATGCCAATAAAATGGACTTGAACTTCAATTTGCTCAAGTGAATGTATTATAAGAATGCTTATTGTGTTCTTAGTCTTGTGTATTCTCAGTTTTAGTGAATGTAGTATATTCTTAGTTCATGACTCGGATCTTACTGATGTTTTTCTTTACAATTTGTGTTTTTGTTGGATGTAACTGGGACCCTGTGTACATAGTTTTGTTCCACCTCATGTACCACATGTGATATGAATTACAATAAAAAAAATCCCTGTATCCTTGTATTTGACTATTTTGCACAGACTATTTTAATTTTCCTTCATCTTGCTGTTTTCCTCTTACCACATGTTTCTCAGCCACCTGCCTTCCTCTTTCCATAACACTCCATTCTTTTTATTGGCAAAAACCAATGTCTGTATGTTTTCCCTCTCTTTAACATCTTTAACAACAACATACAGAACTGTGCAACTTTGTTCAAACTATTTTTAGAAATCCAGACAAAAAGGCACACGACCACTTTAAAAGGTTATAATAATCTGGTTAAATAGCAAAGAAGTGGTTTAAAACTTTTGCACGTTAATGTGCAAATGAACATCCAGTGGTTTTAAGTCCCCACACAGGTGTGGACTCACAACGACAACTGTTGACGGTTGAGTCATTGCACGATCACGGAAGTGCTGAAAGCGAGCATCACTCGGTGAACGTTTCAAATCAGCCTGTAAGTTTTCCATCTCTGCAAACTGTTGCCTAATCCCAAATAATTCCAGGAGCTGTGCATTTATTAACACTCTGACAGAAGGGATAAGTGGGGAGGATTATCAGACGATGACGCGTTTGATCCCTGGAAGTTACACTTGGTGAACCAGCGAACATAAAGTGACACATGAGAACTAAAGGGTGCACAAAACACGAGCAACTGCTCCGTTTTTTTTTTTTTTTAACACCAGTGTCATCTTTTATAACTGCTGATGTGATGAAGTTGTTACATTAACGTTAAAAGCATGGTGAGAAATGCAGAGATGATCTCAATAAAGAACATGTAACATTGATGAGATAACGTTATCACACATAGAGAACCAGCAACACTTGTTGACACCAATGAGCATTGAATGAGTTGTGGTTTTGGGTGGAGGTTTTACACGGGTGGGTGTTAGATCTGGGGTAACAAAGATGGGACATGGTTCACAGCTAGTGTTTTCCACTACTACTACGACTACTACGACTTAGCACTACTCTTGTCTTACCTGATTCTAGGGCTAGAATGAAAGAGCGGAAAAGAAACAAGGAGAACAAAACAGAAGAGTAAAAAGCAAAGCATTTTTTTAAACATTCAAGCATGACATGGCTTTTTTCCTTCTTTATTTATTTATTTTTTGGTACAAATCCATATGATTCTGATGCTGTGGTTTTGCATGAGCGCACAACAACTCAGCAGATTTTTTTTTTTTTACATGAGCGTGTTTTTCCGTGTATGTGCAGCCCGATAAAAGCAAACTATGCAGTGCAGATGTCATAAAACAGAAAGGTAAGGAAAAGTAAAGAGCCTGCTCAGCATCATACATTGACTCAATAAATTATTGCAATAATGTCACAACATTCACATTCCTGTAAAGAAACATGCCAAATATTCAAGTTTATTCAATACAGACTCATGCAATGTTAAAATATATGTCCACCAATTATTTTTTCGTGTGACTGTAATATCCTGCACTGTTCAGCATTGTCTTTTATATATATATATATATATATATATATACATATATATATATATACACATACCAGTATTTGCTTTTTTCTATTGAAAACTGCTAACAGCAATAAAAAGTACCAGCTATTTCCAGTCTTTTCCTTCCAAAACAAACATGTTTACATGGAATCTCTCCACCTCTCTCTGGCTTCCCCTTGTTTGCTGAACTTTGCTGATGTCAGCAGCTTCCTGTCACCGTTCACTTTGTTGTTTTTGATCAATTCACCCATCACAGCACATCTGTCATCTGCCTCTGCGGCCACAATACACCTGATGCGTTTCCACTGCAGCCTGCCAAGTTTCCACAACACACTTTTGTCTACTTCCAAACTGCAGTTTTCTGTACTTTAGTTCTCCTGTGCTACTCTGAAGCTCTAGTTTTTAGCCTGAATGAGGTCACACAAAATGCTGAATCATTTAGTCAACTTGAATCAGTGGCAACTTTGCAGCTACTTTCGCTGGTGATTTCTACTCCTCTGTGCATATTTGCTTGGGTTCAATTAAGTTTATCTGCATCACTCTTTTCAGACCACGCATCGGAACTGTGCAAAATGTGGACAGACCATGGAAAGTATTAATAATGATGACTCCAGTTAGTTGAGCTTACCTGGCTGAGCGTGCTCCTATGCTGAAACCTTGGTAGCCCTCCTGTGGAAGAGAGTCGTCCCCCAGCTCCTTGAGGTCCTGAGGCCGCAGGTATTTGTCTGTATCACCTGTCATCGCATCCTCACCTGGAGGAGGGAAGAAATCACATCCTCCTGTTAACTTCTAAAGCCAGGCATTGCGGCATCCCATAGAAGAACAGGCCCATGAATGCATCACTTTGCTAATTTGATTACAGTACCCACAAGAGTCTATTGGACATCAACAGATCTGTATTAAACCTAAACATCACTGCAGTCTGTCTCCTGGTCTATTCATCGTCACTCTGGATATTAAACAGTGATAAGAGGGGGAAAGTCAATCACAGTAAAGCAACTTTGCGGCAAATCTGGAGAGGAACGCAGCTCCTTTAACACGCAGAGCCCACAGCAGAGCCTGAGCTCAGTCAAACAAGCGAGAAGTATGAAGGTTGAGAAGCGCAGCGCACCTCGATCGGCGGAGCGGTGGACGATGACACGCCGGTCAATGAAGCCGCCGGGGCGGCTGTGGTGCTTCCCTTTCTCCCTCATGTCCGGCGGTGTCCTGCCTGCATCACTCTGCTCCTTCACCGCAGCCCCTCCTCCTACCTTCAGCACTGCCGCACTCTGATCGCGGGCAACCGGCGTCAAGGTGAAGGACGCAAACGGCGAGCGCTTCCGGTATTGGATTTCAAAATAAAAGCGGCACTAATGTTTAGGCCCCTAAAAGTTAAGTCAAATTTATTTATAAAGCAGCTGTTACCAAAGTGCTTAGCAATAAAATCAAGGCTGTAATTAAAGAAAAAAAAGATGTAATTTAAAGCATCAAAAATAAAAACAAAAAACGCAAAAGCAATGAGAAACAATGAGACACTAAATCAAATGAAAAATCAAAAAGTGTTATGTGATGTGACAACGTTTTGCCCGTCTACATCCAAATGTTTCTCACTCAAGCGTTCGGAAATTTCAGACAAATGGCATATTTAGCAGGGGTGCTTTCAGAAATTGTTTTACAGGGGGCAGATATGAGGGTCACCATTAGTTTTGGGGTGGCACATCAAAATAATATTAAAAGCACACCAAATTTTCAGGAGTTTTATCATTCTGTGGTTATATGCTATTTATTTATTTAAACTCTGATATAGGACGTAGGAGATTTTTTTTTTGTCAACTTGACAGGTTGATAGTAGCACACCCACCCACTACTAATCTTATTGACCTTTTTACAGTTTTTACTAATGCATGATCAAAGTAAGCATTTTGTGATGCATTGTGGTCCAGAGAGGATCTTGCCTACTTCTGGTTCATTGATAAACACAATCTAAACAGTATTCCTTTCTACCCAATTTTTCAGGTGAGCCCTTCAGTCATTCTGACAACATTGCACGTTGTGATCAATGTAAAACAGTACTAAAACTAATTAATAAATATGCTTGTATAGGAAAGTCAATAAAAAGCAGGTGTAACGCATTAAAAACAATAGAGCTGAACACTGAAAGGAAATAGCTATGGTCCTATGAAGCATGTGGTGCACAATTTTGCTCATGCACATTAGTAACTGTGTCAATTTAAGCTTGTCTTCTCCTCAATTAAATTAATTTTTTGAAAAAGTGCATTATTTCTCACGGCCTTGCTCAACAAAGTTCTGAGGATAACTCTTAGCTACTACCCTACAAAACTTAAACAAAATCTGTA